CTCAATTCTAGCCATGGTGGAGTCTATAAATAGAGTCAGTTGTCCTCGATAGTGCAGATTGTGTGAGGTTTGCGCCGGTTGAAGTAAAAAATCTTGGTAGGCATATAGGAAGAGTCAAATACAACATACGGTCAAGGAAAGCCCTGGATATCGATTGAAGGTAAGAAAAAGCGGCTGAGATTCTTTACGCTGGCATGCCATCACGACGGATTCGAACCTCTCGCTCGTAAGATTTATTCTCATTTGGTTGAATGGGTGCCGGTGAGAACACCGAGGCCATGATGGCTTACTCTCCTTGCTTCCCACCTCCTACACATGTAAAAAAACCTACGATGAGGTTGAATTGGTCTTAATTTACACTGAGCATTAAAATGAACCCCGGTCGGGTTCATTCTAACGTTTCGTGGCTTAACTTCAAGTTGCCGGGTGAAAGACCCAATGGACTGGTAAATCGGAGCTAAATAACCATCCCGAACGCTCCAAACAGAAGGAAAAACAAGGAAGGGAATTATGGATGCTGAGGAGAATAAAGAGAAGAAGGAGAAAACATGCTCGCGGCTGCACACTATCGAGCGGATTCGCACCGCTCCCTCATGAGGTTTTCTTTCCATTCATAAATTGGGTGCGGTTGCATAGAGTACAACAGTTGGCCATCCTTCCGTTACAGTGTTAGCTACATGCGGAAGATCTTTTTAAGCAAGCAATGAATTGCAAGAGTTGTGCACCAAGTTTTTTGTGCCGCTTGCAATTACAGTTCAACTATGTAGGTCCACTTGATCACTCATCTGAATCCTATTCGAGGCAACAACAACCGAGCCAAAAACAGGCAGCATGAACCTTCCGGCGTCTTGGGATGGGGAGGAAAAACAAAGTAGATTTTTTCCCATCCCATGCCGGAAGAAGACCCGGTTTGGTCCGATCAAGTAAATTTAACGAAGGCAACGGCTGAGTGTGTGGCCTCATATAAACCTCAGAAAACTTATGAATTCAAGCACGTGAATAGTGCTGCCGGAAGGTGAGCTCGGCTCAAGGTAATCTCGAGCTCAGCTCTAGGCCTTGCCTAATTAGGCAGCTCAAGCTGATGATAGCTCATCTTGACTTGAGCCAGCTCAAGCTTGATGTGCTTCCACGTTCTAACGTAGACAGCGGTGATTTATACCTCATCTCCCGCCCCTCCGACAACTTCCTTGTATTCTTTGCCTCTTAAATGTACTCGAGCTTGAACTCTTCATGTGAAACTTGTACTCAGAACTGCGGGCTGATTACCGCATCAAATTCCAGGCTCACCATGCGCTCTAGTAATATCTATTTAATTTCTAGTACCCGTTTAATTCTCAGCGCATTTATAATGAATCAGACTATAATTTGTACCCTACCCTTTGGCTCTGTAAAGATTTTGGACGGCTATACACCAAAGAATGCGAAAAATTGGAGCAGACGGCAAATCTCGGCACGGTCACCAAATAAGGAAATTGGTGATCGGCAGCTTGAGTTAGCTTGAGCTGAACTTCACCTTGAGTTCGGGTAAGCTCGAAACGCCATCACCTCAAGCTGAGCTCAACTCAGCTTCTGGCAGCACTACACGTGAATGAGTATTGGAAGAAAATAAAGGGTGACTAAGCACCCAATAAAGTAGTACAGGAGAAGTCTGGGGGGCCTTTTCTTACAGGCCTCCTTATATACTACTCAGATACTGACTCATATTCCTCTTTCCCACTGACTCTGTTCTTCTTGGTGTGACTCCAACCGTTTGGCTCAGATTGATTCCTTTCTGATGAAGCAGTGCAACACCAATGTACCAACATCTAGCTGCTTTTTGCGATTTTTAGCGCTAGTGTAATGCAAGGCATACTAGGCTTCAAGTTGTATTAAGCTAGCTTTATAATAGGAGTAATATTCCTGGGACTCTGTTTTCAGAGTGAGCTCCAGCTACTGACCATAGTACAAACTCAGTGCTAGGCACGTGAACAAGTGTTACACTAGGGCAGTACACACATTAAAGGAATTATTGTCTAGTATCTCATAGTGTGGGCTAGCGGGACAATAGACAACTTCCAGAGAGCACAGGATAACGAGTTACCAGTTAGTGTAGAGAGATAGATGAACAGCTAGTGGACTGATATCACAATAGCTCAGGGCTAGGAACCACGGTTCTGCAGTAGTTTGGGGCTAGTGTCGGGTTTATCAGGCTAGTCAGTGATAGCAATGGCTAGGAGAAGCCAGCGGCATGAGGATTTGCTGAATGACAGATCAGGTTCTCGACGCAATGTGTTTGTGGGCAGCTAGCTGCAACAAACGAACTCAAGAGATGTATTTTAGATAAGATGGCACAATGACTGGACGGGATGTTCAGGCTGTGCAGAGACGGAGATTGGGAGAGTGAGCAGGCAATAGTGGGAACAGTTTTCCTGGGGTCGTTTTGCAAATACAGAGAGTCCGGGAGCTGTAAAGCTGTACGGAATTGGCAATATACCCAGCCTAGGCCCCCAAGATGGTCAGCTAGCTGACTGTCTGGCAAGTCTAGAGCATGATAGGCCCAGTAAGCTAGCCGTAGGGCAGCCACACAGACCAGTTTTGGACTCATTTAACTTTACCTCATCTCTTTCTTTCAACTAGTATAAAAGGACTCATAAAATACCGCTGAAGACCAGTTCATGCCCTGCTCATCATTACAAGGATAAGGGTGTGCTCAGGCCTAGCTAGCGGAGATAAGGTATCTTCTTCGTTTGTAAAGTCTGTAGAAATCGAATCAGTGTTGTTGGATCCACAAGTAACTGTGTGAACCAATAAGCAAGGACTCGTGTTGGGAGCTTGTGAGCAGCGATGACCTCCACATATAAACCAGGACCAAGAGCACAAAGAGAACATTTGAGAGTTGTTGTTAATTTTGTGGTGGACTTTGCAAGAGCTATGCATTGGGTGACTAGGAACTGCCTCCCGTAAAACAGACCACGACCAGCACAGCACTTTGCTAGAACTCCTTGGTTGATTTATTGGCCGATTAACGGAGCTTGAGTGAACCCTCTAGGTCGGCCCATAATAAGCCCAAGTGTTAAGGAAAAGAGCTTAGATTCAAGGTTCTAAGTCGGCACCCATTGTCTATTGACCTGGGATCGTCATAGAGGAGAGAATAGCTGGCACAGCATAGTCCGTAACTGGAAGTTTTCAGAAGACATTTTATCACCTCGCCTAGGACAACATATTAAACTACATCCGCTTTTTACCCCAAACCCGTTCATTCCATCCCTTGGAAAGACTTGTTTTGGTCAAGCAGTTGAGCTAGCTCAAAGATTGGAGTTGTTTGTTGGGATAGTTGAGGCCATAAATCATTACTCGTGCACTAGGGATTCAAACCAGCAGTTGCATACTACGGCTTGGAACCTGAACTCACTAGGAAGATGTGCTAGTCTTAGTGTTATAATCATAAGGGGATTGGTGTGGTGTGTTAGTGTTCAAGCTAGCCCACACTTTAGCTTAGTTAGCCTCAATTCACTGTTAGCACATCTTGCCCGTTTCACCGACTCAGAGTATCTACCCCTGCTCCAAGTAGCTTTATGCTGACCATTCTAGGTGTAGCACAGCGGACACATTCATTCAGGTCTCTTGCCGCTTGTTATCCAGCCACCAGCACACTATGTTGGATCATCTAAATTTCACCACGATCACAAGAAATGGGTCCATTCCGGTACAGCCACAGTCCAGTTATTGGTATTGCCTGAGTACCAGTGTCGGTGTGACTGTATCGGTAGTATGTTGAGTGCGGGAGGAAGAAGCATTGAACACCCCTACCAGAACCGTATCATGATCCGCAGTGTGATGCGGACTGCGGTTCTGTGAACTGCCTGACCCGGGGTGGGTATAGTCAAGTAATTGTTTTTACAGAATTTAATTCGTCCTCTAGGAGGAAATTGCTCTGTCACGGAGCTGCGTAGTTAAAGGTATGCTAATGCGCGATATATAATTTGTGGTGTGTGTGTGTACAGTTCTCTCCGTTTGGATTGAACACTTTGCCAGGTTCCTTGAAGATTTGGTTCTTTGTTGGGGGTTGGCCTTCCAAAGGTACCGCGGATGGATAGTTTTCTACACTTGCTCGAAGGGTTCGCTCCGCAATGCAAATGCTGTTCCGTTCCGGAGTACTCGGGTTATCTGTTATCTGTTATGCTTTATCCACCCGTCTCGAACATATCGGACGGCAGGTCTCTTCAGCACTGTGTAACACTATACAGACGGCTATAGTGATTCCCCTTGTAGCCTGGTTTCTCTGTTGGTGAACGCCTTGAAACGGAGTCACTTCCGTTTCGAAGACTCGGGGGTGAAGTGTGCGAATTAAATGGGGGAAATGGTATGATCGTGTAGGATAGGCCTTCCGTGTACGATGGGGTGGGTTCCTCGCAAGGATATGCGTTCGAACTCCGAAAAGGAACGGTTGCACGAAGCCAAGTTAGGTGACTGGCCGTTTGGTGATGTGCCGCGTAATCTACTACTGCGCGCTTTCAACTCCGGATTGACTATATTTCCTCTGTATCGATTTATCGAAACAGAGGTGAGACGGACAGGGTTTCTTGACAAGCCCTGGCCTTGGTTTGTCCTACTATTGGGCGGCACGACCTATAGCAGAGTGTATTAATTTAGTTCCCCACCCTGGTGTACTTTAGGGGGAGTAGCTTTAGGTATATGCAGTGGGAGGTAATAAGATGATCATTCCATATCATACAGCTGGCTTTTATACCATACTCTGTCCGATACTCGCGCACGTACTTATGCCTTTAATTGGAAACGGACATTCCTCCTTCAGTTCTGACTCGCCTCAGTGATCACCCACACGTTCCCGATTCTGAAGGGGTTAGAAATTGACTCGGAGTAGCCTCGTGTCGCCTCTGTTTCCCGTTTCAGCTGCCCCGTTTCCCAAGACCCACCTGCGTCCTCCGTTTAGTCGCTCCGTTTCCTATCTGCAACCACTCCGTCTCTGCTTGCTCTCCCGTTTCCTTCTCCTTAGCACCGGACAGATGGTGCAACGGCAGCGCACGCGAGATTCGTATACATCGACCAATGTATGCTCGCGAGGTCTTCGTTTGATTCGGAGTCTGGCCACTGATACACCATCACAAAATGCTTTTGCCGTTTCGTTTTTGAGTGAGTGCCATCAAGTTTTTGAGTGAACGCGCATTGAACGACCAGGTAGCGCATGCGAGAATCAATATTTCCTCCTCGATGTTTTGCTTGCAGGTCGAATGGAGTCTGGATTAATATTTAGCGTCGGTTCTTGTCTCATTATTTTTGTCCGTTTGTCGAGGCTCCCCGTCCTAATCACGGCCAGGTGGCGGAATGGTAACGCATGCAAGATGAATAGTGCCTGCAACGTTTACTCGCAAGGTCTCCGTTCAATTCGGGGTCTGGCCTTGTGGAATGGTGTGAATCTTTTTTGTTTGGATCCTTTTTTCCTGGATCCGGAGTCGCAGTCGTGAAAGCATGTTTTTCCTCCCGTTTGGCTGCGTTCAGAGCGCATCACAAAGTGACAGCTCACATCTCCTCCCCACTTTTGAATGCCGACCATCCCCGGTTGGCGACACTATAAATAACAGTCCTCCAGTGGTTGAAAACCTCAATCCTTGTTTATCCCATAGACACCTCTGCCATTGGTCGGTTCCATTCCTTTCGGTCCTCGAGGATCGGTGGGCCACCTGTACACGGAGCTCTCTCACCACCCGAAATCTGCACGAGGTGCGTGTGTGTGTTCGAATCATAGTAGACCATATGGTTTGTGCTTCGAACAAGTCCGTTTCGAGTTGATGTTGAAATTAAATCGGTTTGTAGTACTACGCGGCGCACCTCCGGCAGAATGAGTTTCGTTGCAACTTCAGTCGTCACAACACCCCTACGCAAGCGTCGTGGATGTTTTATCTCATCGGCGTGTTGTTGTATTCGGTGGGATTCGATGGTGACGACGTCCCGGACATCCATGGAGTCAACGTATTCGGCCTTGCCGTTTCGCAGGCTGAATTCTTCTTGAAGGAGTGCGCAGAAACGGTTGTGCTCTTCCGTGTTTCCAAACCGGCAATTTTTCTGGATTACGAGGAGTACGACCCACACCGGACCGTCGAAGTAATTTTTGTTTTGCGGCAGCCGCCGCGCAACTTCAAACAGATCGTTGTAAATGACAACCCCATTTTGGATTTCTCGACCAAGGAGATATGCAGTCCTGCGTGGACGGATGCGCAGCGAGTTGTAGAAGCAACCCTCCTCACACTTTCCCGCGTCGATGGCACGTTACTGGTTGAGACGGACTCGGATGGCAAGGTAGTGGGCGTACAAAAGGAAAGTGTTGAGGGACTGCTGGCAGATATGGGAGAGTCTCCGCCTGAACGTGGCCATCTGGCTGACTGTTTGCAAGGCGGGGGTGGAGGCGGTTTTTGCCGAAGCGTTAGCCCTACTTTGTGTTCGGATGAAGAATCCTGCGGCTGAGAGTTTTCGGAGTGGAGCGTCGTGATGCTTTCTTCAACGGAGATGCGAAGGGTGCAGTCTGATCTTCTGGACTCTCCCGTATAAATAGACGTGCTTGTATCCTGACGAATTCCATTTCCCGTTTGTACGCCCTCCCCGGATTCACATACTCGGCCAGGATGTCCAACATTTATCGTCTCCCACATATCGCTCTCGACTCGAACTTCTATGGTGTCGAGGCTCTGTGAACCTGGCTTGATAGCTAAAGCTGCAGTTAACTCAGAGACCGTTAATGGTCGCTTTGCATTAGCAACCCAAATGAGGGTAGAGTGAGCTGTCTTTCTGTTGTCCTCGTTCTGTGCTTCAATCTGCTGCATTGCAATATGATAGCTGTCATACAGATCCTTTGGTGGTTCCTTCAGTGCTTCTCGCACATGCCCAATGGTGTTCTTTGTGCTGAGGAACTGCATGTAGAGCTTGGCAAGAAGAAACCTGGTTAACATTGGTTTCTGTTGTGTTCAATCACAAATTATTCACTTACATTCCATCTGCAGTAGCAATGACTCTTGTAAGAATTTCCTCTCGTAACTCAGGCCTTCTCTGAGTATGCTTGGACAAGTGTGGGGAGGACTCAATCTTTGCATTGATATATGCTTGAATATCTCCCGCTGCAGCTTGGATATCTAGTATTTTAAGGTTGGGAAAGGAGGAAGGATCTGCAGAGATATTTGGCCGTGAAGTTATCATCAAGTTCACATTGCTACCCAGGATTGCTAGTTGTCTGAGTAGAACTTTCCGCTGAAACTCGGGATATTCATCCATGGCATCAACAATTATGAACACCTGTGAGAGCTCCTTGATGCTGGAGCTGAGCACATTAACAACTTCTTCCAGAGATGGTGCAGTGCCTGTCTCTTGATGTTGCTTGTATAACTTCTCTGCAATCGAGCCAAGATCCCTGTAAAGTACAAGCTGTCTCCAGAGACCTGCAAGAAGCCTAGATGGTGTTTGGTCGTGGATTTCCTTGTGGTTCAGATAGATACAAGCTACACCAGTGTTGCTGCCTTTGGATCGGGTGCCCAGATAGTTCACCACCATGGATCTGCAATTGTAATGGTTATTAACCCCACTCAATGTAAAAAATGAACCCATGCAAGCACTGTTTTCCCGGTACCGGCTCGAAATTTCAGGTTGGTTATTCTGAAGGTAAGGGTGATAAATCACATACGAATTCCATGGCACCAAAGCGTGTTTCCAAGCCTAGAGTTCCATTTTTTGAAGAGAGGATGTTTAAGCAGCCATCCACCAGTCTCTTTCTCCCACATCTCTGAGATAGCTGCATGTCGTAGAAAGAAATTGATGGGTGAGAGCCAGTTGATGATTCTCTTGCGTTCTTCCTCCTTGTCGCCATAATTGAGGTTTAGAATGGGACCCTGGCCAACATCTCCTTGACCACCTTGTCCGCCACCTTGTCCACCGTCACCCCCGGTGCCTCCTGAGTCAAATCAGTACTGATGTTGACATAATAATCACTGTATCTCGCATGCATGGGAGGTATGTCCATTGTGACTATAGAGGATACATGTCAGTCAGTGCCTGCCACTGCCAGCAGCACATGTAGGACGGAATCACCCACAAGGATAGATTGCTGCAGTGGACTTGCGCTTGTGGTACGAAGAATGTACTCGACGAAAGACAAGGATAAGAGGAGAGACACGTGTGGCTGGCTCACTTTTGGCCTTTAAATGGCCGCATTGTTGGCGTGCGGCACTCAGACTGCTGCTTCGGTGATTGGTAATCACCGAAGATACCATTCATGTGGCAGCAATAATCTTCATTACATGCGACAGAGCGAGGAGCTGTAACTACTGTGGGATATGCTACTTCAATAGTGGTAGCTACCTACCTAGTGTGTTCATTCTGCCGCGTGTGAATAAGACTCCGGCGACGAGACCGACGGCACGGGTGGGTGTAAAAGTAGAGATTGTGCAAAGAAAAGAAAAGCATCGTCAGCACTCATAGTACACAGTAGTCTAGTCTTACTCGCGCCTGTCATACCGTAGGTGGGGCTTCGTGAATTTGATGGCTTGGCATCAGCACGGGAATGGCAAACACAACCCTTTTTAAAGACCACGTCTCGACGACATCGCGCATCTCGACACATATGCGCGCCACAACCTTCGCTTTCTGGGTTCTACTCTATATGCTATGTCACACAACTCTGGCCTTTCACTTTTACTCCCCCGAAGGCTTTGATTTGGCCCGTAAAATCTTGCTTGATGTCCTTCCCAATTTTGAGCCGCACCACTACCAAATCGACGGAATTTGCAAAGTTCTTTCGGGAATTGACCTCGTAGCATCGACACCAACCGGCTCTGGCAAAACTGGCTTCCTCTTTCTCTCGATATTGGTCATGACAGCTATCGCGAAAAATCCGGGACTCTGCCGGAGCGTAAAATTCCCGCTGAACCCCGTCATCATCGTGGTGTGCCCTACGAACTCTATAGAGCAGCAGATGGTAATTCCTTACCCTGTGGTTTGTTAAAGCGGTCTAATGTCGTCTATAAGGTTACAAATATGGCCGCACTCGGGATTACCGCATTATCAATCAACGCGGACACTATAGCCGCGGCTCGGGCACGGTGAAAGTGCCGCCCCTGCCGCCCCGTGCCGCCCTTTGATGGCGGGGGCGGCAACAAAACTGACGCCCTCCAAGAAGGTCGGCGCCCCTTGGGGCGTCGATGTTGTCACATCACACACGAGTTGACGCCCTCTATTTTCATACTTCTGTCCTGCAGCTTGCGCGGTACCATTTACATAATCAACGGTTAAACTGTCCGAACAGAACCACTTATGCCATATTTTGACTGCGAGTTTGTGCTTTTTGACTGACCGTGAAGGTGTATGCTCAATGGAGAGATTCCTAGGGCTGTCGCCCGTGCCCGTGACGGCCACGGCGGTGGAATCCACGGTACTGGCACGGCACGGGCCGTGAACTCGACGGCCGTGACGGGTCAACGGGTCGGTAGAGTTTTGAAGGACCCTCTAGGGACAAATTTTCTTGTTTCTTTTGTTCGGTTTGATGTTGTTCATCGGTTTGGAAGACGTCGAATGCTGGAATGCTCAAAAAAACACTCATCTGAGTATAATTTTGGTACTGGGAATCGAGATGAGAGGTGTTTAACGCATTTTTCAATCTTATATGCCCACTGAAAGTTCTGGAAACACTCCCCATGTCATTTCCGATTGGTTCAGGTAGGCAAAGGATTTGGAGTTCAAAATTTAAACTCCGCCATCAGTTCGGGAATTACCGCTTGAGCTCGGGTCCACCGAGCTTTTGACGCCACGAGTTGGATTGATGCCACCTGAGGACAGTGGTCAACTCATATATGGTTCAATGAGTGCGCCAAAACCGACTGAAAGCAGTATTTGGGTAGGACCCCGGCCGTGACGGCCGTGTTTCAACGGTCATCCACGGCTCGAACCCGTGCCGTGACCGTGCCGTGGAAGAGCTTCCAAAATACTCGACGGCACGGGCACGGTACCCGTGGCACGGCACCCGTTAAACCGTGGACGCGGTCGCGGGCGGCAGCCCTAGAGATTCCTGAAGGAACCACCGAGTTTTTAAATCTGATCTGGCTGACCCTAAG